AATGATGCCCGCACGGCGGTGAAGGTTAAATAAGATGGGGGAGGGAAATGCAGCGGCATTTACTGAGCACTTACTATGCGCCCGCATTACTAGTCAGCGTGTGAAACACCGCGGTGCCTGGCACCTAGTAAGCGCTTCTTAAGTGGGGGTCATTGTTATTGTCGCATTGCTGTGCATTATTTTGATGTCACTCCCGACCCAGGTGGGGTCCCAGGCAGGAGACACAGGGATACCTCGACACAGGCACACTGCCCCCTGGTGCTGCTGTCGGGGAATGGGCACCTGGGAGAACAGCTATTCTGGCGAACAAGCCCCAGCCCCGTCTGCACTAGGCCCTGGGCCCATCAATCCATCCAAAGCTCCAGCCCCATCACACCAGCCTCGGGAGGACCAGCCTTGTCCCCGGAACTTCGGTCCTCTCTGCTGTTGCCCAGCCAAATGGAGCACTGGCTCTCGCCTCTCTGCATTCCCTCTGGAGGGTCCACGGCTTGGGCTGAAGCCACAGGAGGCAGGGGCAGCAGTCTCTCGCAGAATGGAGGAGGCTTGGCCTCAGCAGATCAGAAACAAACCCAGCTGCTGAGTACCACCAAGTCTCCTCTGACAAGCACACCCCAAGCAGCCTCTGCCACCTTCCCTGTACATGGCCTCGTGCCTCCCCCAAGAGGAGGGAGCGCTGTGATGTCCACAGAGGAATCTGTGCTTCCTGCCCCCTTGCATCCCCCCACCGCGAGGGGGTTGTTTCCTAGAGCAGGGACAGAGAGTGCCTGCCGGAACAGGAGGACTCAGGGAGGCTCCCAGGCCCCAGAAAGGACCCTAAAAGCAGCCAAGCAACCTTGCATTCCTGAAAGAGTGGGGGGGATAAAGGGCCGCCCCTCAAAGCCCTTTCAAAATAGCACATCAGGCTGGACTGGCTGTCAGGCCAGCAACAGGGGAATGCAAATGACCTTGGAGGAGCCTAGTCAGGACACAGTGCCTGGCTCACCCTGCATAAGCCACCTCTAAAACCCCCAGCTCATCCTGATGTCAAAAGACTGTTTAGCGCAGTGCGAGGCAGGCATCACGAAGAAATTAAACTCCAGCTTTGAGGAAGAGGGAAGCCTGGGCTGACAGGAGCGGCTGGGCTGGAAAGTGGAGGCAGAAATTGCTCAAGTCAATGCCTTCCAAGGCCCCTCGGGCCACTCCCAGGTCTTGTCTGAAGCTATTTACTTCCAGGGGGGAAAGCCCTATTGATCTTCATTCAGCTCCTGTCTGCTCCTACAAGGCGGCAATGTTTCAGCGCATCACCAGTCACTGTAAGAAATTCCTCATTGTTTTACACACGGCTCCCAAACTCAGGAGACGAATGGTCAGGACCGTTTGGGTGAACTGATCGGAGACAATGAAGACGGGGCTGGTTGGGGAACTCTGGGGGAGGGGGATCTCGTTCCCCAGGGAGAGACTGCTGTGACTGCCCGCTGGCCACCCCCGCCCGCCCCCGGCCCAGGTTCTGGGTCTTGAGGCTCATCTGTTCTGCTGTCTGTAGATGCTCAGAGAGTCCAGAGCTGAGCCAATCCTTCCCTCTCTACCCCACCCCCATCCCCAACACATACACCTGCTTTATGTCTCTGCAGTCATTTGGCTCCCAACCTCCCCCTGGCTGGCTAGAGATCATCACCATCCACCAGGGCTCCCCAGCTGCTGCCACCACTGTCTGGATCCCTTTTCAAGTTCCAAGCTGGCCCCCGATCCTACCATATGCATGTAATACAAGGGAGCCTCGTGTAACCATGAAACCTACAGTGGCACGGACAGTCCCCACCGTCTGCACTAAAAGGAACTTTGAAGCCACAGAATATCCCAAACCATCACAGCCAATCCAACGGTGGTTTACAGATGGGGAAACAGAGGCTCAAGTTTGGGGGGACCGGTGTGATTTGACCACAATGGCTCAATAAATGGGCAGAAGAGAGAGCAGAAAACCCAGGCCTCCTAGCTCCCAGCTTAGGGCCCCTCCACTTCAGCTTCTAGGTCATATAACCAGGAAATCCAGGTTCCCACAAAAGGTCACTGAAGCCCATCTGGCTGAGATGATCCATGCATTAAACTGCTTCCCATGAGTTAAGACCAGAATCCATCCCAACAATAATAACGATGATAAGAGTAATAATAAAATGCCGAACAATATGCCTTGAAAACCTTCAATGAGAAACACTTGATAATCACACGCAGATACATCTTTCACATATTCATATAAAATAATCAATGATCATTTTTTCCCGCAGACTACAATCCAATTACTCTCTCTCCCTCGCTCTCTCCCTCGCTCTCCTTTGTTACTTGCAAACCATCCAAGCAATCAATGCCTTGACCTCTCCCTCTGATAGACACAATTACAAAAAGACAGAGCAATGCAATTCATCTATTCAAGACGGATTGTTTGAACACTCTGTCACACCGCTGAGCTATCCATCTCCTTGTCTAAGAGGAAATTTCAGCCCCCAAAAAAGGCACAAAGAGAGGGGGCGGGTACACTGCTCCCAGCCCAGAGAGCCCCTCACACACCTGCAGGAAAACCCTCTCCCAAGCTGGTGTTTGAGGATGCCTGCCTGCTGGAGAATTCGGCTCCAGGAACAGCCAGCTCAGGCACGAATCTCGGGAACCACAAAGCACCCAGCATACTCCCGAACCCCATTTCCAGGACCTCAATTCCTGCAGCCTCAGGCAGAAAACCCTGGAATCCCACGGGTGGATCAGAAAAGGGAGATGGTGGGGGACCCAGCCAAGGCAGTGTGTTTAGGTTCTGCATAAGTGTGTGTGTGTGTGCACGCACGCGCGCGTGTGTGTGCGCTCCCGCGCGCATGGGCCCGCCCATGTCCACTGTGCTTCCCTGGCCCCAGCTAAGGCTCCAGCCCGGACTCCCAAGGATGGAAGTTCAGCTCCCTAGGAAGCTCCAGAGAAGCCCAGAGGCCTCGGAGCCTTCCCATCTTCCATCTAAGCTGGCACAGCTCCGGCGGTCACGTTTGGCATCCACACAGCACCCCAGTCCTCGGGCTGGGAATCAAATGGGGCAGGGCTCTCTGATATAAATGGCTTGGGCCGACATGCTAATTAATCCTGGGGCTTAATACGAAGAAGATTGGAAGAGAGGAGGGCTTTGCCATCCTTAATTGCATTATTACAACATGAACCCAAGAAAGGGCAGGCAGGCTGGGGCTTCCCCTCAGAGCAGTGAAGAGCCCCCAGTGAAGTCAATTTCACAATAAGAGGGGGCAGCTAAGGACACACCATCCTGCCCCTCCTTAGCTCATCTTCTGGGGCTGTCCTCACCTTCTCCTGACTTCCTGGGGCCCCAAAAACCTCCACCCCTGAAGCTAGGCTGGGAGCATACCCAGCTCCCCGCGTGCAGAGGAAAGGAAACTGCAACGCGTGGGACGCGCACAGAGCACCTTTTGGGGCCCCTCTCCTTTCTCTCAAGGGCACTCTTCCGCGTAGGCCCTCAAAAAGCAGGGAAGGAAGGAGGGAATGAAAGAAGTGCTGGCCCAGTACTAAGGTTGTGCCTGCCCCTGGAATGCTAACCAAACAGGGAGCTGGGGCAGGCAAAAAAGCAGATACAAAACGTTGCTTGGCTTGCCAAGAGCAGCCTGGGCTGCAAAGGGTTAAGCCTGACCGTGAGGGATGTCCCAAGAGTCCCGTGCCTGGACTCCTCTGCCTCCTGTGCCTCTTCTGCCTCGGGGTGTGAGTCTGCCAGGGTCCCGGGCATGGACTCAAAGACCCCAGCGTGGGCAGCGCTGAGCACCGCGCACTACCCCCACCCGGATACTGAGTTCCAGAGGTTGTGGTATCCAGGAGCGAACCACGAAGACGTACCCCTCAACCCCCCGATTCCTGACCACCTCCTAGGAAAACCTCAAGTACGGAAACCAAGCCCGACCTCGGTTCCCTGCATCCCCTCAAGCCTCTAGCAGTCCTCTCCTGGAGAAGAGCCACAAGGGGGGAAGGTGGCCCTGGCTCAGCAGAGCTCTGCCCGCCCTGTGCCAGATGCTGGTGGTGGCGCCTCGAGAACCCAGGAGGCCCAAGTCTCCGGCCTGGCGGCAGGCTCCCGCGTGGCCAGGCCGGGCCCAGCCCTGGCGGGCGCGGGCCTGGGCCCCGCAGGGTCTCCCGCACTGCCCAGAGTGCTGCCTACAGGGTGCCTGGGGCGGCCACAACAAAGTTAAAGCCCGGAGTAGGAGTCTCCGGCGAGAAGAGAGCGGAGACGCGGCAGCCCCGGAAAGCCGCGCGCAACCCCGCCAGCCGCCGCCAGCTGCGGAAGGATTTCGGCTAACTTTATAAACCGTTCGCATCCCTCCCGCCACATTCCCGGCCGCGGCGGGCAGCCTCCGTGGCTTCCTTCACCGCCCCCCTTACCCCCCAGCCGCGAGGGAACGCAAGAGCGACCGGCCGGGGCTGCCCCTCCCCTCCCCCAAGCCACCGGGCTGGATGGGGCACTCCCGAGGCCGAGGGCGGCCGCCGGGAGGAGAGACCCGCCGCCCACCCCTCCTCCGTCCTGCGAAGCCGTCCCTCGCGTCCCCGCCGCGGCCGCTGGAGCTGTTCCCCAGGTGGGGGCGGGGGCCTGCCGGGAGCGAGGAGGAAAGAGAAGTTGGCGCCTTCCCCCAGGGTTCCCGCTCCGCGGAGAAGCCCGCTCCCAGAACTCGGTCTGTGGCCGGTCGTGACGGCAGTGGCCGGGAAATGAGCCCTCCACTCGGGTTGGGGCTGGAACGCTTCGCTCCTCTCCGCCAGGTCTGGCCTCTCACGAGCGCTCCAAGGGCCCCTCGCCCGCCGCGGCCCGGCTGTCTCCTCCCCACTAAGTAGGGCCCGTGACCCCCGGCTTTGGAACTTTGCCCTGACCGGGCCGAGCTCCCGGTGGTCACCCGGCCCCGGCGGCCCGGAGAGATCGGGAAAAATCTCTTGGGATCGCGTTCGTTGGCTCCCCATTGCCGCCCCCGCCCGGGCGCACAGAGACCCCGGCTCCAGGGAGCCCTTACCGATCCGGATGACGTGGGGCATCCCGCGCGAGTCCGGGATCCAGAAGGCGCACACGAGGAGCCCGGCCCAGTATTCCCAAACCAGACTCCGGAGGCGCCGCCAGGGAGCGGTCATCGTTGGGCGCCGCCGAGCGTGCCCGGGGCGCGGCCGTGGCGGGCTCCCTGGGGCGGCAGCTCTAGGCGCGGGCGTGCAGCAGCCCCCGAGGCGCCGCCTGGCCCAGCTGCCCGGCTCCCGAGCGCCGCTGCGAGTGGGGGGCGCCCCGCGGCGCCGCGCACATCTTACTGGGGGGCCGCCCCGCCGGCGCCCGCCCCGCCCGGCTGCCGCCCACGGGTCGCCCGCGAGCGAGGCTCCTGGGCTCCGCCCGGGCTGCGCTCGGGCTCCGCTCGGACTCTGCTCCGGCTCGCGTCGGCTCGGCTCCCGCGCGGGCTCCCACCTGCCCCGGCTGCCGGGCGCTGGCGGGCGGGCTGCACGCGTCTCCGGCCGCTCCTCCTCCAGCCGCCGCCAATGCTATCGCCCGGGCTCGCACAAAGCCCCGGAGTGGAGTTGCACGCGCGCACACACTCCCTCCCAGCCCCCTCCCCGCGCCCTGCCTCCCGCCTCCCGCGCCGCCCGCCGCCCGCGCTCCCTCCGCGCACTCCCCCGCGCACACACACTTCACACTCACGCCCGCCGAGGCGTACACTCGCGCGCTCACACCTGCGCAGGGGGCGGGGAAGGGGACCCTGGACCCGGTTTAGGGGGACGCCCGGAGAACGAGGGTTCTCCTCGCTTCCCAGATGTCCCCATCCGCCCTGCCGCCCCCGGTCCCTTCAACAGCGAGGGCACGGAGCCTGGGAGCCGGGCGTGGAGCAAGGGAGCTGGCACCGCGAGCTGGGCGACGGCGGCAGCCTAGCGGCCCGACCAGCTGGAGGAGACGCGCCCGCCGGAGCAGAGGGACGCGGAGCCCGCCGTCTGCGGAGTCTCGCCTTCCAGCTCCCACGCAGCGGGCGCAGGCTGGACGGCTGCGGCGGGAGACGGACCCGGGAACCGGTTTCCCTCCCTAAGCCCATGTCTCGGGGAGGCAGAGTTGGGGCTGGGGCTCCGGGAAGACAGAATCGACCACGCTGGGCTAGGGGAGCAGCGGGAGCTGGTGGCGGTGGGACGGCCCAGGCCAGACCCTGTGCCTTGGAAGGCAGGACTTGACGACGTCCGGCAACCACAGGGGTTTCGGAGGCAGATGGCTAAATCCTTAGACTCGGAGGGCATCTGAGATGCACCCTGGTACCTACTTCCCACCCGTCTTCCCCCAACTCCCCAACCGTGCAGGAGGGGCTAGTTCCCTTCCCCTTTCCTCCTGAGAACGAATAAAGAGAAACTGTCATTTTCTGTGGGATACAGCGAGACCCATGGGGGGACAAGCTAGAAAGGGTTAAAAAAAAAAAAACCTTGTTTATTAGCAATAATAAATTTTTTTTCAAGTGGCGCTGGGTGTCGAGGGAAAGGAAGGGCTGTGGAGCGAGTCTAGAGCAGGAGGCTGGGAATTACGCAGTTAGGCGAGTTTAATGACCTTTTTGACAGAGACAAAGCGGTGCCGATACAGTAGATAAATAAACGGATCTGTCACCGGGCAGCGGCTAGGCTGTGTGTGAATTTATTTTTCTCATTTAAATAACTTGATCTATTCCATCATTCCCAATACCTCCCATTTGCCAGCTGTCTGGTAAGAGCATGGCCCCCAACGTCTGAAAAGCAAATCTTTGATTTTCTTACAAATAGACTATGAGTCCAGTTCTATCCGGCCCGTTAATTTCCCTGGCTTTTCTTTCCCTTCCGTTCTGGGAGTAGGGCACGTTGGCATTGTGCGGAGATGTGACACTGCAGCGTGGCCAATCGTGCCACTTGGAAGGGGACTCCCTCCCACCTGAAGGGAAGGCAGCCGGGAGCAGGGAGGAGGATTCCCAGGGCTCTTCTTCTTTTTTTTATTTTTATTTTATTTTTTTTTTAATTTTTTTTTCAACGTTTATTTATTTTTGGGACAGAGAGAGACAGAGCATGAACGGGGGAGGGGCAGAGAGAGAGGGAGACACAGAATCGGAAACAGGCTCCAGGCTCTGAGCCATCAGCCCAGAGCCCGACGCGGGGCTCGAACTCACGGACCGAGAGATCGTGACCTGGCTGAAGTCGGACGCTTAACCGACTGCGCCACCCAGGCGCCCCATCAGGGCTCTTCTTCTAAGAAGGGGAAGAGGTGTGCCGGGCTCGAGGCCATCCTCAAAGACCCAACAGCAAAGAGAGGTTACCGGCTTCCGTCTTTGCCCGAACTTCGGCCTTCCTCACCCGTGCGCAGCAGCGGCCGGTTTCCCCAGCAGCCACTGGAAAATGTTGCCCAAGAGACCAGAGGGAAGGACATGCAGACCAGAGCCAAAGAGGCAGCAACTGCCACCTCTTGATAGAGAGCAACGGGCCCCAGTGGGCACCAGCAAGGAGGAAGCGCGGGAAAGGGGAGCCAGAGGCCCCACCCTCCAGGATGAAGGTGGACACCCGTCCCTGTCCCCTGGCTTAGTTGCTCCAAGAGGCTAGAAAGCCCAGGACCAGTCTCTAAGGAAGGAAATTCCGGTGCCCTGATGGGGAACGGAAAGGGGGTTGGCAGGACCTGAACTCAAGGCAAAGGATGCAGGGCTAAAAAAGCCTCGCCAACAGTGCCCAAGCATGGTTGGGAGGTGGGGGAGGAGGCAAGAGCCTGGATGCTAATTCTGTCTGGTTATCCTGCAGGCGGCCTCTTGCCAGGAGAGGGGTAGGGTTCAGGGAACAAATGGCCTGGCAAGGAAACTGCGGAAGCAGAAGGGAAGAGGTACGACTCCAGGGGATGAGCAGATCTGGACCCTAGACCAGAACCCTATGCCGGGACAGTGAGAGTGAGGCATGAAAGATGGGGGGCAGGAGAAGAAGGAGTAGCCTTCAAGAAAGCCAGCACAAGAGGAGAGGTACTAGAGAAGTGAGTGGATGAATGTGGAGGGGGAATCTGAGGCCCCCAGGGCACGCTGTGGCCCTGTCCCCTGCAGCCCCCTGGCCAGGTCCAGGGAAGCAGCACAAGCTGGGCCAGGCTTCCTGCCGCATCCCAGAGTGGGCGGGTGTTAGCCAGCGCTGCAGAAGGAGGCTTCCCTCTGCTGCCACGTTGGCTGCGGTGGAAAACAGCCCCCAGCTGCAGAGGCTGTGGGGCTCAGGTCACCGGGCCCGCAGCCCCTCGGGAGCCCCCTGGGTCAGAGGGAAGCGGGCTGACACGAGCCCAGAACTGGGCCTTATTCTGGACCTCGCTGCAATCCATCTTGTACCACAGAGGTCTCGCCAAACTGACAGGAGCCCGCTCCCTTCCAGGCTGGGGAAGGGTGGGACGCATTACGTCAACAAAACCAACAGCAATGACGATAATGACTGCTAGTATTTATTACATGTTTTCTATGTTCCAGACGATGTACTTACTCAATGTACCTTACATGCATCACTTCCTCTAGCCCTCTCCACAGCCTGCCAGGATAGGATCCCTGGGATTTTTACATTTTACCCTAAAGACTCTGAGCCTCGGGGAGGTTAAGAGGTTCAAAGTCACAAAGCTAGTGTGTGACCTTCCTCCTTCCCCCTTCCTCCCTCCTCCCTTCCTCTTTTTCCCTCCTCCCTTCCTCCTTCCTTCCTTTCCTTTTCCTTTTCTCTCCCCTTCCTCTTCCTCCTCCTCTGCTCCCTCCTTCCTCCTTTCCCTCCTCCCTCCCTTCCTCCCTCCTTCCTCTTCTTTCCCTCTCTTCCCCCTTCCTTCCTCCCTCCTCCCTCCCTCCTCTTTTCCTCCTTCCCTCCCTCCCTTCATTCCTCCTTCCTTCTTCCTTCCCTTCTTTCCTTCCTCCTTGCCTCCGTCTTCCTTCCTTCCTGTAATACTTGTTGGCCATCACTGCCAGGCACTGTGGGTGAGGACCCAGGATCCGCACACAGTCCTATCCGCCTCTTAAGCTTGCAAGCTCGACCCTTATCCTGTCCTGCTTGGACTCAGCAAGGGATAGGCTCTAGCAAAAGGTCCTCATCACCTCTGCTGGGGGCCCACTGGGGCTTCCGGCTGCTTGCAGAAAGGCTAAGAGTAGAATAGGATCGGGGCCCTTTACTAGAGCAAACCGGGGCGCCCCCCAAACCTGCAGCCCTCTCTCCCTGTGGTGGGGCGCCTCTCCAGGCTGTCCTGCCACCAGCAGGCACCAGAGCTGGCGGGGTCTCAAGCTGCATCTCCTGGGATTGGGAGCCGCCAATCCAGGCTTTTCGAATTGTTGGTAAACAAGTCTACCCACCAGCCAGGCCTCGGCTCCTCACTCCCCCACGAGGCAGCCAGCGCCGGATTTATGAGGCCTCCAAACCTCATTCAGACTAATGCAGCTTTTCATTCCAAAATAAAAGGGGCCGCTGTCTGAAAGGACAAGTGCTCCCGCATTTCATTAACATCCCCGAAAATGGCTGAGCTGGCCCAAGTCGCTGCCAGCGAGATTCATGTCTCCCATTGGCTCCCAGGTGGGGGTTGGGAAGGAAGAAACCCTAGACCTCCGGCCCCTCCCGGCCCCTCCCCGCTTCTGCTGGGGCGGGAGGAGCCTCCCAGGGGTGGCCAGGCGGGCTCATTTGGACGAGTCCCCTGTGTGCGCATTTTGTTTAGACCGATCCACTCCAGCCCTCAATCCCCCCACAATCACGGTGAGTGATGAGGCCCTGGGCTCGAGTTACCGAGATTCATGATCTCCGCTTCCCAGGGAAACCACGGAGCACAGGCTTGTGGTTGCTGAGTGCAGATTCCTAGCACTGGAGTGCCCTCTGCTGAAGCCTGCCTACCTTCATCTCCCTTCAGGCTGCCCAGCGGCGGGCAGGCTGCCGGCTGGGGGAGGGGGTGGGGGTGCTGGTTGCTGTAGCCCGGGCTCCAGCCCCTCCTCCAAGTGTCCCACTACCGGCCCTCTCCCCGCGGCTGTGCAGACCTGCACCCGGAGCCTGGGTGCCTTGGTGAGCGTGAGGGGACGGGCTACCTCCCACCATCTCACCCTGGAGGGGGCCTGGACCAGAAGCTGGTCACTGCCAGCCTCCCCTGATCTTTGCCGACTACTAGAGCAGGGAGGAGGAGG